TATTATTAGGAAGAAGACAGGGTGCATGGCTGGTTCAGACAGAGGAGTGTGTTACTCTTGATCTCTGGGTCATGAGTTTGAGCCCCACATTGGGTGTAGAGATTACTTAAATAAAACTTTTTTAAAAAAGGGAATAAGACAATTATCCCCACTATTACCACAACTAACCAACATTTCACAGATGGTCTTAGCTACTGGTATAAGGCAAGAAAAGGAAATGGGTTGTATAACTATTGGAAAGGTGACATTACACTGTTATTATTTGCAGGTGATTTAGTTACCTGCTTTAAAAAGAAAAAAAAAAAACTAGAAAGAGAGAGGTAGAAGATCAATATACCAACAAGTTTCCCATATGCCAGAAATACCAATTTTAAAGGATCAAAGAGTAAAGATCTCATTGACAACAGCAACCAGACCTATAAAACTCCCAAGAAAAAACCCTTTGTGGAGTAAGTATAAAACTTTCCTGTGGACAGGAAAGAAAAATTCCCTAAATAGAAAAATCAAGTTCATGAATTGAGAGACCTAATGTTGTAAAAATGTTCTTTCTCCCCAACTCAATAATTTGAATGCAACCCAATTAAAATTCTGATTTTTCGTTGAATTTCATTCATCACAGGAATAAATAATGCAATAACAGAATAGTTCAGGTTTTCTTTTTTAATAGAAAAAGGGAGGAAGGAGTTATTCTATATATTAAGACATGTTATAAAACTGTAGTAATTAAAATGAAGTTGATGCAAAAATGGATATTTAGGTAAAACAGCAGAGAGTCAATAAAACAGAAGAGAGGTCCCCATGCACTTATGAGAGTGTTCTATATGATTGGGATAGCATTTCAAAACTATGCCTGAAGAAGTAACGAGTCAAGAAATTGTTTGAAAAATAAATGGTTGAACAGCAGTAGCTATCCATACAAAAAAAAAAAAAAAAAAAAAAAAAAAAAAAAAAAATCCCACTAAATTCCTACTTGATACCATGCATACCAACAATTCCTGTTGGATTTAAAAATAGTCCAAAAACAAAACAATAATATCTGAGGGAAAAATATTACCAAAATTTCTTAATTTCTCTATTATTCAGGATTCTTGATTTTAGCAGAACCAACAAAAACAAAGTCTGGTTAACTAAGGCAGAAACAATTTATGGGTAGGAAGCTGCAGAAAATGGCGAGAACCAAAAATCCTTCTTAAATATGACACAAAATGGGAGAAACACCGAGAGTGATACATTTGATTGTGTGAAATTTATAAAGAACTTCTAGAAACAGTAAGGATAGGGTTTGTTACCACCATTTTGGAGGACGATCTGGCAGCATCTAAGGAAAGTTGTGCTTAGCCTACAATCTAGTAAGTTCCACCTCTTAGCCCCCTGGAGAAATATACACATTTGTGCCCAAGGAGACATGGTTAAGAGTGGGCATTTTGTCCTTATCTGTAATTCTGAGAAATGAAAAGACCTAAACATCTGTCAGTAGTAGAAGAGATAAAACACAACATGGGTAGCTGGTAAAAGGAATGTGTGTGACATCGCACATGGAAAGATCTAGAAGTCTGAAGAGGAAAAGCAAGTTGAAGAATAATCCAGGCAACATTGTGCCACTTTTGTAAGGAAATACAGAACATTACTGCATTATGTGTGTGTGTGTGTGTTTAATTTAGAGGGGGCTAGAATGGAGAGATAGTAATATTTCAGCTCAATCTATAATGCTCTGATTTTTTTAAGTTAATACTTAGGTATTTAACAAAGAGAAATGAACATGGCCCACAGGGCCCCATCTGACACCATGTTCCTACTCCCTCTCAGAGCTTCATCCAGACTTGCTTCCCAGTGCCTCAGGACCTTTGCACATGATGTTTCCTCTGTCCAGAATCTTGCCCCTCCTTTCTCCACCTAGTTGACACTATCAGTTCCTTTGGATTTCTGTGAGAAAGCCAACTGCTCAACAATGCTTTCTCAGGGCCTCTGACCTAGGTCGAGCTCCTGGCTTTCAGAAAGCTTACCTTTGAGCTTAATTACATACGTATTTTGTGATTATGAACTCTAGCTCTATGAGAAAGAGGCAGTCTCATGTTTGTTTCTTACTGTGTCTGAACACCTCACTTCACATCTGGTAGAGTAGCCATTCGAGAACTGATTGGAAGCATTAAAACCTAAAGGCTAGAAAAATAGGACTGTGTACTTTCCTAAAACAGTTGTATCTTGAGGCCTCAAGATACACCCCAAACACTGTCACTTCCCTTCTGGAACTGCGGCCTCCTCAAATGTTCTCTACCTCTGGCTGCTTAAGGCTGAAGCCACCCAGGAGCATTCCTAATTCTCTGCCCTTCTTATCTAATCAGTCGCTCCACCAGTAGAGTCGACTTCACTCCCACAACCTAATCCAAACTGCCATCCTCTCTCACCAGGCTAATGCAATAGCTGCTTGGCCTTCGCCGGTGCGCTCCAGGTCCCAGCCACGTCCACACAGCTTCCAGAGCCATCGACGTACAAATGCAAACCTCACCGTGACCCTCGGCTGCCTGCCACTTAGCATGGTTTTAATATTGCTTCTGCAGCCTCTGGCTTACCTGGAGAGTTGGCCCGGTTTCCTGGGGACTGAGGGGTCCTGGGACGCCAGGCTTTCAGTGTTCAGACCGGGAATGTCCTGGGCAAACCAGAACGAGTTGGAGGCCCTGCTCCGCTGCTAGGCTATAATCTCCATGAGGGCGGGAATCATTTGGGGCCTGTTCACTACCGTTGCCCCAGTGCCCAGCACAGCAAGGTCTTTTTTAAATGGCTGTTTTTGCGGAGTTTGAAAGGGAACGTAAATACTTACCTTTGTTGGGCCAGCAGCTTACACAGAGCCTGTTGCCCAGTAGGTGTCCCAAGTACCATTTTTGCGGGTGAGAAACTTCACCTGACTGCTGATTCCCGAATTGCTTTACTGAATCAGCTAAACCTGACCTCCAGAGGGGGAAGGAGACGCCACTCTGGGACAGGCCGTGTGGCTTCTGGCCACTGAACTACGTGCAAATTCCTCTGGACTCTAGATTCGATCACTGTTTCCAGAACCACCGATCTACACACTGACCCCGACGGGAGCCCCTTCTATCCCTTCTCACGATCACAGTGGTAGAGCTGCTCGAATCTGACCTCTACCACTTAGTGGCCACGTGACCTCGGGCAAGTCGCTTCTCCGAACCTCAATCTGTAAAGAATTCAGGCTTGCCCTTCCTAGAACCCAGCACTCTCGAGCATCAAATCATGTGTAGAAACACTCTGCCAATGCTAAGAGGCTATCCAGATGTTACATTTGCAACTTCTAGTTCTCCCCCATCCACTCAGCGCAGCCAACGTAGACTTGTTTTCTGGTTCCAGGAAGCGGCCCAGACAAGACAGCCTTCAGGTGAACCGAGTGAATGAAGCTGCACAGATGGGCAGTTAGACTTTCCCTGGAAGGGAAGGAATCAAATGTTTCCTGGCTCAGCTACTTGGGAGAGCCTACGAAATTCCTCATAGTTGAGGTCATACTTCTTTCCTCTGTGCTCCACTCTCCCAGCACAAAGAGAGTTAATCGGCTTAAGAGATCCAGGCCAGGGACGCCTGGGTGGCTCAGTTGGTTGAACGTCCAACTCTTGATTTCGGCTCAGGTCGTGATCCCAGAGTCGTGGGATCAAGCCCTTGGTTGGGCTCTGCACCAAGCGTGGAGCCCGCTTAAGATTCTGTCTCCCTCTTCCCTGCTTGCATGCTCTAAATTGAAAAATAAATAAATAAAAGAGATTGAGAGAGAGAGAGAGAGAGAGAGAGATATTGATCGATTGATCGATCCTGGCCATGTAATGCCTTCACAGGAATTGTTCAGAAGAGACCAGGCTATATGGAGCCTAAGAACATTCCCAAGAACCCCTTTGTCTTTTTAATACCCAGGCGCCAAAACAAAACGCTCAGTCTGTGTGACTGAAGCACCTAAGAATGACTGGATAGATTTTCAGTGACTTGGAAGGCATGTTGGGATGGTTTGCCTTACAACAGAGCTCCAGGGAGCCCTAAGAGAGGTGTCAAGGAGCTGGGTCATTGTCTTCAGAGCAGCCAAAAGTGACAAAGTGAGCCCTGTGTGGCTTGTCTACGGGGAGAAAGATGCCCTACATGTCAAGTTGATGGGCAGAGATAACGGGCTGGTTTCAAATTCAAAGTCGAAATCAAAGACTTGGATACATCTCAGAAGACTTCTTTCTGTCCCCAGGTTCGAGACCTCCAGCTGAGAGCCCGGGTGGAAGACACTAGTTAGTTTGTTCTTTATTTTCATTGGAAAGTTATATGGTTACTTATCAACAAAATTGACTGTCCAGGGCAGAGATATCCAGTGGTTTCTATGTACAGGACCATCCCTGGGGTCCACACCTCCGCAGAGGCCTCACCCCTCGAGGCCTCAGTCAGCTTCTTCCCAGGCCTCCAGGAACCAATCACAAAGACACAAGGAACAAAAACGGGCCGACCTCGGCACCTGCTTTCACCCCGAGGGGAGGTGGCGGCTGCTGGTATGGGCCCCGGGCCTATTCTCAGGTAGAGGGTGCAGGGGCCTCTCTCCTGGGAGCCTGCCCTCATGCCTCCCCTGCCCAGAAAGGCTCTCTTGGACATTCCTGGGACTACTCTGACAGGCTCGTGGGTCCCACTCGGGCCTTCTTTTCTCTCTGCTTGTCATTTTAACACTGAGGCATCTCAGCCTCCCGTCTTGGAGGATAAGCATTTGCTCTGGCGCCTTTTCTTTTGCCCCTGTTTTTGTACAAAAACAACAATACTCTCAATCGGACCGTTTTTTTGCCCAAGAAACAAAAGTGGCTCAACAGGTACAGTTCTGCTGGTCGATCTGCTTTCGGCAGGGTTCCATGGTGACGGCGACACCCACGCCGCTCCGGCCGGATGTCATGTGGGTCACCTCGCTCCAGGTGTCGGTGTCTGGGTCATAACACTCCACACTGTCCAGGAACGTGTGACCGTCGTAGCCTCCTGCAGGGACAGCAGAGGACACAATCACCCCCTCTGAGGGCAGGGGAAAGAAAGAGGGGGAAGGACCCACAAGAAGCCTTCCTGCTGGGATTTGAGCCCACCCCCAAGAGACGGGGCTAATCAGTTTTCTCCACCCAGGTTTCCGCCCCCAGGGCCTCACCCAGAACGTAGATTCTTCCCTGGTGCACAGTAATCCCCAGGGCACTTCGCCGATGCTTCATGGGAGCTACAAAAGTCCACGTTTCTGTCTCCACATCATAGCGCTCCACGCTGTTCAGCTGGTCCTGACCATCGTAGCCCCCCGCAGCATAGATACAGTTGTGCAAGACACAGACTCCTAAACCGTACCATGCAGAGAGGGTGACTCCGGGGCCTGGCATTGGGGGCCTAGCCACCACCTTCTCGGGGGCGCCCTCCCCGCTCCCCTCTCCCGGGAGACCCTTTAGAAACAAAGCCGCGAGAGAAGAGCTTGGACTCGGTCAGAATCTAGCTCTTGTGTGTGTGCCACAGGGTTTGAGATCAAAACAGGAAGCCTTCCCCAGGCCTGGCCGAGTTTCATTCTCAGGAGTGGGAGGGTGTCCCTCCACCGTCCCCTCCCGCAGCCCCCACCCACCTGCCCCGCTTCGGATGGTGTTCATGGGTGCGATCATCCGCCACTCGTTTGTCTCTGGGTAGTAACACTCGGCTGAGTTGAGGCGGTTTGTGCCGTCAAAGCCCCCGACGGCATAGAGCAAACGGTTGAGGACAGCCACTCCCACCCCGATCCTTCGAGTCAGCATTGGGGCCACCAGGTGCCACTCGTCCCGCTCTGGCTCATACCTGCAAAGGAAGGACAGCGACAATGGCAGTCGTAGCTGACCTCGGGGGAACACGTACTGTGACCCGATATTCTGCCAGTTCTGTGGGCACTCGAGCTCTTTCATCCTTCTAGCTATTCTCTGAGGGAAACTGAGGCTCACAGCCATCATCTGTTCAAGGTCACGCGTACGTGTGTTGCATGCTGGTGGCCACACCCTGCCCCATGGCGAGGCCCCGTGCTGTTATGTGTCATCCCACCCAAACCGCACCCAGCCTGTTGGGCAGGTGGTCCCCACTGCCATCTCCCGTCACCTCCGGGTGACAAGATGGAAGCACAGAGGGATGATATGGCATGTCCAGGGTCGCCAAGGACGTGGCGCTGGGGTTTGACCCAGCCTTCTAAGACACCAGAATCCTAACTCTAGCAACTAGGCTACCACGCAGGATGGTTTTTGTCCAAGTGTGGGGCCTACTTAAAATTCCCATTGCCCAGCCTCACTCCGAGCCCACCACCGATGCCAGGTCTCCAGCAGTGGGCTAGGGAGTTTGTTTTAACAAGTGCTCCAGGTGAGAACTGTATCCTGGACCACACTTCTGCAAGAGGAGAGGGCAGAGGACTGGCTGTGCAAAAGCAGAAAGACCAAAATACTCAGCTTCTAAACGCAGGGTCACCATGCAGTTGTGCAGGTTGTGCACTGTACAAGGGTACCATATCCCAGGGGCACCTTCCACACAGAACACCTCGTACATCTGTTTATTATGGCAATTTTGAGGCAGATGGCAGCGAGGTGTCATGGTTTAATAAAATTAGCATTTTACAGTAACTTCAAAATCATAGAACTCTTTCCAGACCTGCAGAAAAAGAGTTGTATGGGTTTGTGACAGCCCTGTAGGCAATTCCCAGGCCCAGACACATCATCCAAGGTCCCTGACCCTACATCTCCCAGGAATTTAGCTTCACCTGGAGGCGTCCACTCCCTGAAGGTAGGGCACAGAGAGACAGGCACTCGACAACAGGGGAAGTCTCCACATCCCAATGGGTTGGGACCCGGTAGCAATGGGACCCTCAGCGTCCACCCACTCCGGGCCCTGCCACTCACCTCTCCACACTGTTGTGGTGGATGCAGCCATGGGAGCCACCCACGGCATAGATGTGCCCGTCGATGACCCCAACCCCAATCCGATTGCGCGGCACGCTCATGGGGGCACAGGGTGACCACTGGTTGGTCATGGGGTTATAGCAGTCCAGGGCACTGGAGTCGGTGTTGCCGTCGGGCGAGTTGTTCCGGCCACCCACGGCATACAGCAGCCCGCCCACGACGCAGCCCGCCAGGCCACTACGAGGCACCTGCAGGTCTGCCAGTCGGAGCCAAGTGCCATCGCTGGGGTTGTAGGCCTCCAGGTAGCTGAGCGACTGGCGGAAGTAGCCGCCGGCGGTGTAGATGAGCCGGCCCACTTTGGGCGCCCGACAGGGCATCACCTGCGTGGGCTTGTGCAAGGTCAGCTCCTGGAAGATCTTGACCAGGTAGTCCTTGCAGCGGGAGTCCGCCTGCAAGATCTCGCACTTCTGCAGCTGCATCTGCAGGAAGCGGGGTGTCAGCGAGTGGCATCGCACAGCCCTGAGCAGCGCCTGCACGTAGAACCGCCGCTGCTCGCAGTCGTACTTGACCCAGTTGATACAGGCGTGGAAGACCTCGGACTCGCAGCGCACGTTCAGATCGTCTCGGCTGATGAGAGTCACCAGCTGGCAGTGGGACAGGTTGAAGAACTCCTCTTGCTTGGCCACCTGCAGAGGGCATTACCGTGGCAGGCTGACTCCCGCGTGCCGCTCCCCTGAGCCCGCCACGGCGGCGCGATCTGGGGGACACGCCTCTCAACCTGCCTCGGACAGTCTCAGTTGCCAGTTTGGTAAAACGGGGATTTGAACGGTATAAACTTCACAGGTCGCGAAGATTAAATGAGCTGGTGCCACACATGCCAGGCATATCAGAAGTAGGCACTCAGGTAAACGGGCAAAGAGACGATGTACCACGTACCTTTTTGTTTCGTTTTGTGCTTGACCTACAAGTTTACCCGTTTGTTGTTTTTTTTAAACAACCTTACTTTTTCTTTGTTTTTAAGTTTCTTTTTTTTATTTGAAGAGAGACAGACAGTGCAAGTGGGGGAGGGGCAGAGAGGGAGAAGGAGACAGAGAATCCCGAGCAGGCTCAACACTGTCCGCGCAGAGCCCGACGCGGGGCTCAAACTCACAAAACCATGAGATCGTGACCTGAGCTGAAACCACGAGTCAGCCGCTTAACCGACCGAGCCATCCAGGCACCTCCGACCTTACTTTTTCAAAAGGGTAGACTGGCTAAAAGGGAAAAAGTAGCAGCACTAGAATGTTCTAGAAAAGTGTAGGCTCTGAAGAAGAAGGCTGAGCTACAATATGGCCCACTACTTTCTAAGTAGGTGACTTGGGCAAATACCTGAAATGCTCCAGGCCTTGGTCTTCTTCCTCTGTAAAGGGGGTTTGTGTTAGCAGCTACCTCACAGCCGGGCGAGGTAGCCAACTATATAGTAGGGTAGACAGGGCCCCAGGCAAGTATTTCTTGTCAGGTACCAGTCTATAAAAGCAATTTCGGTCAGCCCACATCAGCAGGCCCCCAATGCTCTGGTAGGTACCCCAAGCCCATGCAATCCCTTTAAAGAAACATTATGCAAGCCTGTCGGAAAGCCCTGCTCACAGACCACCTTTCTGGAAGCCATAGGCCCTAGGACCAGTGCCAGAGGTCCACAGGGCATCTGGTCAACCCCACATGTGTGGTAGAAGGGAGAACATCTGTCCCTTAAGGGGAGAAATGGAAACCAGGGCACTATCTACCCCGGCTGATCCTAGCCCCTGGAGGAGGGCTTTGAACATTTCCAGGAAGAAGGGGCGCCTGGGTGGCTCAGTTGGTTGAGCCTCCGACTTCGGCTCAGGTCATGACTCACAGTGTGTGAGTTCGAGCCCTGCATCAGGCTCTGTGCTGACGGCTCAGAGCCTGGAGCCTGCTTTGGATTCTGTGTCTCCCTCTCTTTCTGCCCCTCCCCTGCTCACACTCTGTCTCTCTCTCAAAATAAATAAATATTAAAAAATTTTAAAGAGAAAGAGAGAAAGAAAGAAAAAGAGAAAGAAAGAGAAAGAA